TCTTACATGTCTCCCACACAGGTGCAGGGTCCCAAGGCTTTGGGCTGTCCTCAACTGCTTTCCCAGGCCACAGTCAGGGAGCTGGATGGGAAGTGGGGCTGCTGGGATTAGAACCGTTGCCCATATGGGATCCTGGCATGTTCAAGGCGAGGACTTTCTCTGCTGGACCACGGCGCTGTCCCCAAAATTTTAACTCTCAATGTTGATTGTTGATTTTACTCTTTCTCTATTAGTGCTGCTGGTGTTTCCCTGTTCCACTCTGCTCCTGTTGTGTAGATGGTCAGCTTCACTTATTATATTAACTTTAGTCAACCTGTTACCCATAGGGCTTCTCAGAAGTCTGAGTTTGCATGGTTATTTAACTTCTACTGGTTAACAATATCCTAGCTGACTTATTTTGGAGATTTTCCACATAGAAAAGCTGGCACTTCAAACTCATATACTTTAGTCTTTTCTAACATTTTTGCCTTTTTTATTTTTAACAGAATGATTAGAAAGTGTCACGGCATAGCTGGTAAAGCTGCCGCCTTTAATGCCAGCATCCCATTTGGAAACCCACTACTCCCTTTCCAGTCTGTTTCCCCAACAATGTGTTTGGGGAAAGAGCAAAAGATGGCCCGGTGGCCCAGCGTGATAGCGTAGTTGTTAAAGTCCTTGCCTTGAACGCACTGGGATCCTATATGAGCACCGGTTCTAATCCCGACATCCCTGCTTCCCATCCTGTGACCTGGGAAAGCAGACGAGGACAACCCAATCTTTGGGACCCTGCACCACTGTGGAAGACCTGGAAGAAGCTCCTGGCTTCAGATTGGCTCAGCTGTAGCTGTTACAACCCTTGGGGTGCGAATCATCGGTTGGAAGAAGTTCCTCTCTTGTCTCCCCTCAGTATACCAGCCTCTCCAATAAAAATAAATAAATTTTTAAAAAAAAAATAGAAAGGAGAAATTGGTACATTATGTATCTCTTTTCATGGTTTAGCAACTGTTCTAGACTAGAAAGATTTGATATCTCTTCTACTGTCTCACTAAGCATAACAGATCATTCCGCATATTTTCCTTTAAGGCAGAGCTACGATCAAAGAAAGATTTTCCATCCATTGTTCACTCCCCAAATGGTCAGAACTCCATCCTGGTATTCCCACACAGATGTAAGGAGCCCAATGATGTAAGCCATACTCTGTTGCTTTCCCAGTCACATTTACAGGAAGCTCCATGAGAAGCATAGTGGCTGAAGAAGTATGCACAGCTATACAACTGTAATTTTACACTGTCAGCCATTCTCCATTCCAGCTACCAGAATTATACAGTGATCAGTGAAAATGCAAAAAAATATATATATAAGAAATCTTTAATTCATAAGAGATGATTCCCATGATTCAGAGCACTGCTCAGATACAGCACCATAATGCTGGTGCAGGCCCAGCCTATTAATATGCTCATGATCTGTTACTAATATCTTTTTCTTTTTTCCTTTCAAGCTGAGGCATTAGATAGATTGTCTCAAATTGCTTTTCTGTTCTAGAATGTTACTAATTTGATTTGGTTTATTTATTTGGAAAACAGAGTTATTACTAGGCCAAGGCAGAGAGGGTTAGAGGTTCTGTCCTCTAGTTCAGTGCCCAGATACCTGAGATGGCCTAGGAAGGCCATGCCGTTAGGAGGCAGGAGCTCCCCCTGGGTCTCTCATGTGGCTGGCAGCCTCACCAAGCGCCTGGGACGCCATCTGCTCCCTCCCACGGCAAAGCCATGATTCATACCAACACTCTGCTAGAGGATGCAGACATCCCAGCCAGCAGCTTCTGTGTGCCGCAGCACCTGCCTGTGGGTTGTTTTCTGAATCCTTCCTTGAAGGCTAGGCTTTAAATGTTAGTCAAGAATTTTTTTTTTAGAGGAACACAATGATTGAGTTATGTTATTTTAATGACATGGGTTATGGACTGCATGATGGCTCAGCTGGCTAATCCTCTACCTACAAGCGCTGGCATCCAATTGGACGCCAGCTTTTGTGTCCCGGCTGCTCTTATTTCCCATCCAGCTTCCTGCTTGTCTGGGAAAAACAGTAGAGAATGGTTCAGAACCTTGAAACCCTACACTCATGTGGGAGACCTGGAGGAAGCTCTTGGCTCCTGGCTTCAGATCGGTTCATCTCCAATCACTGTAGCTATCTCTGGAGTGAACCAGTTGATGGGACATTTTTCTCTCCATCTCTCCTCTCTGTAAATCTACTTCCTAAAAAAAGAAATATTTTTTAAGCAGGGGAGAACACATTAATATGAATTAGATCTTTTTAAGATATGATATAATATGTCATGAAAATATTTTATTAATATAAAACCTTTTCTTTTACAAATTTAAGATTTCTCAAAAATGCACATTTTTGGGCCTGGCACAGTAGCCTAATGGCTTAAGTCCTCACCTGGCATACTCCAGGATCCCAAATGGGTACCGGTTTTTGTCCGGTTTGCTCCACTTCCCTTCCAGCTCCCTGTTTGTGGCTTGGGAGGGCAGAGGAGGAAAGCACAAGGTGTGGGCCATTGTACCTGTGTGGGAGACCTGGAAGAAACTCCTGGCTTCAGATTGGCTCAGATCTGGCCATTGCAGCCATTCGGGGAGTGAACCAGCACATGGAAGATCTTCCTCTTTCTTTTTCCTCTCTCTAAAATAAGACTTTCCAATAAATAATAAGTATTTTTTTAAAGAATATAAAAACACATTTTTTAAACTTTTCATTTCTATATTTCAGAATGTTGATAGTCTGTATGCAGAAAGTATGAAAATAAAATCATAGTTGGCATAGATGTGCATACTTCTCTTAGTACAGGGCACTTTGCATTCTAGTGGAATCTACTTTATGTCCTTGCTGCATCATATTATCATTCATTGAAGCAAATATTTGCTTAGTGTCTACCATTATTAAGTAATAAATACAGGATATAATACTTCCTGTGTCCTCACTGTGCTGAGTGAAGGCATACCTACCTCCCCGCACACTGATCTGTAGCAGTGTAAATAGAAAATTGTTAACCCTGAAAGTTCACCTGAACTTCAGTGTCCAAGGGTTTTATTGGATTTTCATTAATCACACATACTAGATGGAATCGCGTGTTAGAAAGTTGAACTCAACCTCCAGTCCCCCTCTGTCTGTGAAAGTCATGTTTATTAAAAGTACCCAAAGTCCTCTGTCCTAAGTTCTTTTATTAGTTTTAACTATCTGGAGAGTAAAAGACGAATACCTTATAAATATCTCACTTTAGCAGGTTTTCATTGGTCAGTATGATATGTGTGAGCATTTTATGTACTTTTTATCCTGCCACTTTCCAAGGGTAGGGCAGGAGGCAGGAGGCAGAATGAGCTTCCATTCTGTGGTTCACTCTGCAAGTGCCTGAAACCAGCATCTCAAGCCACAACTTGCACATAGGTGTCGGGAATCCAGCTATTGAAGTGCTTCCCTGGTCTTCACAGCAGGCAGCTGAGTCCGGAACAAAAGCCAAACAGAAGCCCAAGCACTTCAGTGTGGAGCATGGGCAGCCTAGCCACTGGACTGACTTTCTGTCCATGTCCACATCACCATCCCAATGCATTTTAAATGGTTCTTTGTTATTTTCTGATTTTAAAATAGCCTTTCTCTCATTCAGAAACCTCAACTATCAAGAACATTTTGGGTACACTTTAGTTGTTAGTTCATAGAAGTGTGAAGTTTTGCTGTATTGGAACAGTAAACACTTGCATAGCGAGGAAGTAAAAATCCTTTTTTTTTTTTTAAAGATTTATTTATTTATTGGAAAGTCAGATATACAGAGAGGAGGAGAGACAGAGAGGAAGATCTTCCATCCGATGGTTCACTCCCCAAATGAGCGCAATGGCCGATGCTATGCGGATCCGAAGCCAGGAGCCAGGAACTTCCTCCAGGTCTCCCACACAGGTGCAGGGTCCCAAGGCTTTGGGCCATCCTTGACTGCTTTCCCAGGCCACAAGCAGGGAGCTGGAAGGGAAGTGGAGCTGCCAGGATTAGAACCGGTGCTCATATGGGATCTCGGTGCATTCAAGGTGAGGACTTTAGCCGCTACGCCATGCCGCCAGCCCCGAAGAAGTAAAAATCTTTAAGCTTTGTTTTGGTTTTGTTTCTAAGGAGTGACATAAGCAGTCCCATCCCCTGCTTCTCTCTCATGCTGAGCTGGGAGCCAGAAACTCAGTGCAGGTCACCACCTGAGTGGCGGGGACCCAGGCACTTGAGTTGTCACTGTGTCTTCTGGTGAGGGTGTGTGTTAACAGGGAGCTGGAATTGAGAATGAGCTGCAACTCAAACCCAAGTACACGAAACAATATGGAATGTAGTCTGTGCCATAGACTCCAGTAGTACCGAGGATGTATACGGGGTCTTGAAAAAGTTCATGAGGAACACTGCAGTTGTCATCCAGTGGGCAAATGATTGCTTGCTTGCTACCCCAGCATTGCATGGCCACGCGGGTGATGGCTACACGGCCCTTCATGCAGTCCATGAGGATGAGCTTAAGGTTGTCTTCATTAAATGCCTGGTTCCTATTCTGGTCGTAGGCGGCCCAGATGTTACTGACGGTGGCCACAGTGACCCTGACGTCTGTGTCTCCATATCCTGAATAGGCCAGCAGCGATTCCTAAGTTCTTGGGTGGCCTAGGAGCTAAAATCCTTACCTTGAATGTGCCAGGATCCCACATGGGCACCAGTTCTAAACCTTGCAACCTCACTTTCCTACCTAGCTACCTGCTTGAGGCCTGGGAAAGCAGTCGAGGATAGTCCAAAGCCTTGGGACCCTGCAACTGCATGGGAGACCTGGAAGAGGCTCCTGGCTTTGGATCAGGTCTGGCTATTGTGGCCACTTGTGGAGTGAATCAGCAGATATAAGATTTTTCTCTCTGTCTCTCCTCTCTGCATATCTGACTTTGCAATCAAAATAAATCTTTTTTAAAAATGGTTGAATACTGTTGTATTGCAACATTATAATGGTGCTATTATATTTTCAGGAAACTACTGAAGTTCCTGTGGAAGCAAAGTAGAATTTCATAAGAACATAATGGGTAAGTTAGATAAAGGTAATTTTGTGTTTTGGTGAGTAGAAGTTGGTTTTCTTCTCAAATATTGGTCTTCAAAATAAAAAGATTATCAGAGTACACTAAAATTAGTTTATGTCGATATATACTATTTGCCTATCAAGTTTGCAGTTTCTAGGAAATATAACTTAAGAAATCTGAAATACTCCCAGAAAACACAAGCAGTTTACATTATAGCAATTTTGTTTTGTTTTTAAATCCAGAATCCAATCAAGGATTACTTACTGCATAAAACTGACTTTTCAGTCTCCTTTAATAGTTACCTTTTGGGGCCAGCACAGTGCTCAACTGGCCAATCTTTAGCCTTGTAGCACTGGCATCCCCTATGGGCACTGATTCATGGCCTGGCTGCTTGGCTTCCCATCCATGCAACTGCCTCCATTTGGCCTGGGAAAGGAGCCGAGGATTGTCCCCCTCTGTACCCGTGGAGGGAGCCAGAAGAAGCTCCTGGTTTCTGGTTGCAAATCAAGTCATTTCCAGTGTCAGGGCTACTTGTTTAAGATTGATTTATTTTTATTTGAAAGGCAGAGTGGCGGTGGCAGAGAAAGAGATTTCCCATCCACTGGCTCACTTGCCAAAATGCCCATAACAACCAGGGGTAGGCAGATGCCAAAGCTTGGAGCCAGAAACAGCCATCAGATGGTGGCAAGCGCTCAAGCACTTGAACCATCGTAGCTGCCTCCCAGCTGCATGAGCAGGAAGCTGGATCAGAAGTGCAACGGAGCCAGGACCAGAACTAGCACTTGGGTGTGGGATAAGGGCATCCCAAGTGGCAGCAGACACGTCCCTTACCTTATGTGGTTTTGTGTTTTTGGTTTTATAACAGACCAGGAAAGTTTTTATTAAAAACATTCCTAACCTTCAGTATATCTAGTTGTTTCTTTGTGATTAAATTCAAGTTAATTTTGGGTGGTCATGGTTGGTTTTTGTTTTAATCTTAGTTTTGGAGATTTTTGGATCAGTTATTTACAGAAGAGTAGATGAATGTTTTTGGCTTAATGGCAATGAAGCTTTGTTTTCTCCTTTGCAAAGTTTTAGAGTGATTTTTAAGATGCTTTTCTCTATGTTAATGACCAACAAAGTTAAAATTCTGTTATAGTAATAAAACTGTCAAGTGTATATGTGAGAAAGAAATCTTTTTTTTAAGATTTACTTTATTTTTATTGCAAAGTCAGATATAAAGGGAGAGGAGGACAGACAGAGAGGAAGATCTTTTCAATGTTTCACTCCCCAAGCTGCTGCAACAGCCAGAACTGTGAGGATCTGAAGCCAGGAGCTTGGAACTCTTCTGGTTCTCCCAGACAGGTACAGGGGTCCCAAGGCTTTGGGCCATTGTTGACTGCTTTCCCAGGCCACAAGCAGAGAGCTGGATGGGAAGCGGGGCCACCAGGATTAGAACCAGCACCCATATAAGATCCCAGCGCATGCAAGACAAGGACTTTAGCCGCTGGGCCATGCCGCCGGGCCCTGCAAGAAAAAAATCTTAAGGAGATAATACAACCATGTAACTACCCCTCCTCACCCTCCAAAAATTTTGTGTTGAGCGTCATGACTCCTGTGAATACAGCTGGGGTAGACTAGACTTGTTTCCAAAATAACATCTATACAGTCTCTCCTCACTCTTGTTTTTATTATTTAAGTTTATTATTAAACAATCTCTGCCCTCCCCTCCCCCCGCCCCAGCCACAAAAAAACGTCCTGGGCTTCCCCCCCCCAGTCTTGTCCTCCACAATGCACAATGTTCTTCTCTCTTTTGGGTTCCAACCAATGGTGTCCACTATGATGCAGCAACTTGGGTGAGGGGCTCCTCCAGGTACTGGGCCTTGGCCTTGAGCATTCCGAAACCCACAGTCCCCTTGACATACATACATACACAGCAGAAGGCTGGCCACGCGGGTGATGGTTACATGGCCCTTCATGCAGTCCATGAGGATGAGCTTAAGGTTGTCTTCATTAAATGCCTGCTTCCTATTCTGGTCATAGGCGGCCCAGATGTTACTGACAGTGGCTGCTGTGACCCTGACATTTGTGTCTCCATATCCTAAATAGGCCAGCAGCGATTCCTCATTATTCAGTAGCAGGGTGCTCTGGATGCCTCCAGTGTTGGCTTAGCTGAGCACCTGGATCAAAGCCTTGGGGCGCAGCATGCCTGCGACTGCTCACCCCAACATCCTGGCACCAGGCCACATCCTGAGGTTTCTGGCAGCCCAGCCCCCTCTTTTTAATATTTAAACATCAAAATTTCCTCTATTCAGTCATGCAGTAGCTTCAATGGGGCAGTAAATAATAGTATAGTCATTATGGGTTAATAGAAAAATGATGAGTAAAAAAAAGCCTTAAGTTATGGAGTTTTGGACTTGTCCAAATAAGCTGCATTGACATAGCAGAAATAAAAATCAAAATCACTTACATGTCTAAAAGTATTTCAAGTGATAAAGTTGCACTACGATGGCCTGGCAACTAAAATGTTCAGCTTACACACCAGGATCCTATATGGGCGCTGGTTCTAATCCCTGCTGCCCCGCTTCCCATCCAGCTCTCTGCATGTGGCCTGGGAAAGCAGTTGAGGACAGCCCAAAGCCTTGGAACCCTGCAAACATGTGGGAGACCCAGAAGCGGTTCTGGGCTCCTAGCTTTGGATCAGTGCAGCTCCGGCCAGTGGCAGCCACTTGGGGATTGAGTGAACAGACGGAAAATCTTCCTTTATGTCTCTCCTCCTCTCTATATCTGGCTTTCCAATAAAAATAAATCTTTAAAAGTTTTACTTCAGGTTGAAATGTGCTACTTTGATCACAAAAAATTTGTTAATATCTCATTGTACAGTGGAGGTCCATTTTTATCCAAAGTAGCATTCTTATTTCCAGAGGTTATATTGCCTTGAAATATATTTGCAGCGTAACAAAATTAGTTAACATTTTAACGGTTTGGTGACTGTTACCCTTCAGAAATGTTTTTGGTCTTTTAGTTCCTCAAACAATCCCCTTGGTGAGACTGTTTTAAGTCGTGTGACTCAAAATCATTTTACTATTCATTGTACCTTAGATGGAGAAGAGAAAACTTATGGTGGCTGTGAAGGCCCTGATGCCATGTATGTCAAATTAATATCCTCTGATGGTCATGAATTTATTGTAAAAAGAGAACATGCACTAACATCAGGAACAATTAAAGCCATGTTGAGTGGCCCAGGTAAGTGTAAAAGTTTGATGAATGTGTTTTTAAGTTGAATTAAATGACAGTGCATTGTGAAGAGAAAGTAACTGTTACTGCATAGGTATAGGTATTATACATTGCTAAAACTTGGTTTCTACTGCTTTGTTCCAGTTATTTACCCTATAAGCTTGTTTGTTTTAAGATTTATTTATTTGAAAGGCAGAAAGAGAGATCTTGTGTCTTTTGGTTCACTCCCTAAATAACTACAACAGCCATGGCTGGACCAGGATGAAGCAGTATCCGGGAACTCTGTGCAAGTCTCTTAGGTGGCGTGGAAGCGTTCACGTACTTGGACCATCATCCATTGTTTCCGCGTTCATGTTAGCAGGAAGCTGGGTCAGAAGCAGAGTAGCCAGGACTTAAACTTGCACTCCAGTATCGGATGCAGCAGCTTGATGTACTGTGCTGCAATGCCCACCCTACCCTATAAGTGTTGATGAGATTGGTTTGATTGTTTTGTAATAGGAAGGCTCGTTTCCCCTCCATTATTTCTCATAGCTAACTTCTTAACTTCAAACTGGCATTTGTACTTTTAGCTTAATAAGAAGTTGCCACTTATCAAATTTCTGTTTCTTAACTTTCTTTCTGAAGTGAATTTCACATAATACAGGATTAACTGTTTAAGTGGGTAAGTATCACCACCATCAGTTCCAAAGTGTTTATCACCTCAGAAGGTAACCCTACTTCACATCAACCTGTCACTATTCATTCTCAACCCCCAGCACCTGAAAGGTATCAAGATGTGTTTTCAGTTTTTTGGTGTGTACTTAGGAGTGGAATCACTTGTTTATATGCTAATTTGGTGCCTAAGTGTGGAGAAAACACCAAACTGCTAACACAACAACCACATCATTTTATATTCCTACTAACAGTATTAGGGTTCTTTTGTTATATATTCTGTCCAATGTTTGTTATTGTCCATCTTGTTTGCTTGTTAGTATCCTAGTGGCTCTTAAGGCAGATTGGTTACCAAAGGTCTAGGGGATAGAGAAAATGGGTACAGGATTTTATTTCAGGTCAGGGTAATAAAAATGGTTTGGATAAAAATGGTAACTGTACAATACTGTGACTATACTAAGTCATAACTGAATGTAGTACATGCTGATGTGCTGATGTGTACCTCAGCAGGTAGTAGGTGATGATTCAGCTGGAGTCCCTACCATCTGTGTGGTAGACTGAATCCTGGGTCTTCGCTTGTGTTGTAGCCCAGTCCCAAATGTTACAGGCACCAGGGAAGTAAATCAGCAGATGGGAGATTGCTGTCCTTTGGTTTTCAAATCAAAATAAATTAATTGACACTTGATCTTAGCCAAAAGGCCAAGAAGCGATCAAATCAAAATAAATTAATTGAAATTTAAAGAAAAATCTGATTTAGATATGTGTTTGATGCTAGTTATTTTAACATTTATTTGCTAGTGTTACCATAACAAAATACTATAGATTGAATGACTTAAACAACGGTACTTTATTTTCTCAGAATTGTGAAGGGTGGAAGTTGAAGATTAAGCCTTTTGCAGTTTGATTTCTTTGAGGCCTTTCTTCTGGTCTGTAGATGGCCATCTTTCTGCTTGACTTCACATGATCTTTGTGTCCTGATAAGAACACTCTTCATGTTGGAGTGGCCACCTAATGATTTCACTTTAGCCTGATTATCTCATAGAAGAACTTGTCTCCAAAGAAAGTTACATTCTAGGGTACTAGGAGTGACATTTCAACATGTGAATTTGGTGGGCAGAGATGCTTCAGGTTGTAACATATACATTCTTTGTTTTTCAGGTCAGTTTGCTGAAAACGAAACCAATGAGGTCAATTTCAGAGAGATCCCATCCCATGTGCTATCAAAAGTATGCATGTATTTTACCTACAAGGTTCGCTACACTAACAGCTCCACTGAGATTCCTGAATTCCCAATTGCACCTGAAATTGCTTTGGAACTCCTGATGGCTGCGAACTTCCTAGATTGTTAAATAAAATAAATTATAATAAACTGTTAACTTTTTCAGTATTTAATACCTGTAGTTTGGTTAGTAATTTTTTCAGATATAGCATGTTGCCTGTATGCAGTTGAACTATGAAGTTCAATGCAAAGCAGATTATGTTCTGTTATTTTGCATAGCAATCCGAATTGAAATTTGTTAGCTACATCAACAAATTAAGGACATTTTCACAAATAAAAGATGTGAAAATTTAGATGGTTTTATCTTATCCTTGGAGAATGACCATATAGTTAATGCTGAACTTTAGGCATAAATGAACATGTTCTACAGGTAAAATAATGGGGCTAAGTATTTTTATGTTTTTAATGTTTTTTTTTTAATAATCTATTCTGATCTTATAGTTGTCAATAGCATTGCTAAAGTTATGCAAACAGTTGCATTATAAAAATGTAATATAAACTTAGCCAAACATTGATTTTTATAACTCATATAAGAGTTGAAATTTCTTATGTCTTTTGATAAACTGCAGTATTGTTTAAGTATATCTTGTCTCTTTGTTTTTTGCTACAACTTAGGAACTTATTTAAAAGCAATTTGGGAAGGTTACAAGGAATAGTAACTACGCAGATGGTTAAAAGTAAACAACATGTCTTAGAAATCTTGTATATTGTGCATTTGGGGAAATTTCAAGTACTGTATCTTCACTGATTATAGTTTCCTTTGCAGTTATTTTATTCTTCCTTCATAGTCCCTTGTGATTACACTTTTGATTGGCTAAATGTTTTAAAAGACTCATTAAAAACTTAATGAACTTTATTCAAATCTTAAAAGCTATAGAGTTTCCTGAACTATTCCAGTCTTCCTCCATCCAATTGGAATGTTGTAAAATATGGGAAACATGTGGCAAGACATAGTATACATCATATAATATAGTTAGGTATAGTACTTTATGTATCTTTATTAATTTATAAAATAAGTCCTAATAATTATAATAATGATAGTGAGTTTTCTACTGAACTCAAACTCACAGTGAAAATATTCAGCTTTAATATTAAGCCGATGACAGGGCATCTTTGCTTAGGTGTCAGAACAGAGGCACTGAAGTGTTCGGTTTAGTATTTTGTTCCTTAATAGTAGAACAAAGCTGCCTCAGAGGAGCTATAAATTTGTCTTTAGTTTATTTCTTCTGGAGTAGCTTAATCTGGAAACTCAAAAACCATAAACAAAAGTAATTTTTTCTCTTAGAAAACCTAAATGTTACACTGTCTGGCTTATTGAAAGCAGTTAAATATCAGTTGCATTTGTTTAGTAGCTTCTTAGGGCATACTGGTACGTGTTTTAGCATAGAAGATTATGTATGAAATTCAAGAATTATTTTATGCTACGTGGTGGTAAATAATGCCAATTATAAACCTCCATAATGATTTCAACAGTAAAGATGATAGCTAGAAATAAGACTTAACTTTGGTTACTTTATGTGTGAGATCTAAAAGTAACCATAAGTTTAAGACATCAAAATAAAACAGACTAGGTAAACCTGTATATCTTGCGGCAAATGGTACTTGCATGTTAATAAAGACTATTGCCTGAAAGGTATGGATGGAACATTTGGTGCTTGATCTTTTTAGCCTTAATTTTCTCTTTCTCTGAAGATTTCACAAAACTGCTTCAGGACATCTTCCCGTATGATTGAATAGTAGGAATTTGGATTTGATTAAATTTGTGAAGATGGTGTGTATTGTTGAGACAGTGCTCTCCATTTTGTAGTTAGCTTATTACTTTTAAAAAATCATCACTTGTTTTTTTATTTGAAAGGGAAATTTACAGAGAGGGGAGGGAGGAAGAGAGAGAGATCTTTTATCCACTGGTTCACTCCCCAAATGCCTGCAACAACAGCCATAGTTGAGCCGATCTGAATCCTGGAGCTTCATTTAGGTCTTCACATGGCTGCAGGGGCCCAAGAACTTGAGCCGTGCTCTGCTGCTTTACTAGGCTATAAGCAGGGAGCTGAATGGGAAGTGGATCAGCTAGGACATGAGCCAGCCCTATATAGGATGTGGGTGCTGCAGGTAGAAGTTTAGCCTGTGCCAGCTCCTAGCTTAGTTTTCAAGTTAAGTGCAACTCTTCTTGATGTTTTTCTTTCTGTATATTATTACCATTAAGGCTTTTATTCAATTAATGTTTGTACTGCCCAGATTATGTTTTCTAGGTTAATTGTCTTTAATGAATCTTTTTCCAGTTTCCAATACTTTTGAGGGTAATTATTGATACTGAGAAATAGTTTATTACATGCAGTAAATTCAGCTCATCACAACACAAGTACTTTGAGGCATCTAGCTTTGCTTAGGTTTGTCTTGATGGATTGAATCATTTTACTGAGCTTGTCAATTCTTCAGAAGTAATGCAGATATTCTGAGAAATCAGACAATGTGAAGATTGATGTCTATTTTTTTAAAGATTGTGCAAAATTATTGTATTTACAAAAGTGAATTAAACAATCAGTACAGTACATACGTCATTCACGTTTTCAGCAGCAAAAGGAATTCTAACATTACACAATTGAGTTAGAATCCTAGCAGTTAAGTACTAGAGTTACATGAGAAACACCCGAATGGATAAGTACTAAAATTCTGTTAAAGCTGAAACAGTTTTAATGCCATTTAAGTCAAGCACAGAAATACAGATCTTTCAAAATCCCATCTAATCATACCTGAATTCTGTGACCTACTATTTGTGATCTTAAACTCGTGTTTAGAAAATCCAAAAGAAGACAGCAGGTTATGTTAAACCACAGTAACATACGAAGCTATACTTAAGATGAAGTAAGTAAAGCCAAACAACTTTAGCTGTAAAACTTGTTACTTGTGGGAACCCACTACACTAGGAATTGGGTATTATGTAGAATTGTTCTCAAGTAGATTCTGTTGCTCTAACATGTCTTTATCAGTGCACTGTTTAATCAGAAAACTCCGTATGAACATTCTATTACAGTAGCAACAAACACTATCACATGAAAGGAAGAGAGATATGAATAAATAACAGGAGAAAAATGGGAAATAAGAGTAATGCAGATGAGACCTTTGAACCAGCCAGCCAGCTTCCATTGGGGAAGGTCCTGTAGAGTGGGAATGTGGTCGCCAGTGACCTCCATTTTATCTGGAGCTGCAGTTGTTTTTGCCATGTTGTAATCCTCAGAATCCAAGTATATTTGCCTTTTCTGCACATTATTTCCTTAACAAATGTCTACCTCGAGGCTTTTCTCCCAGATGAGGATACCTTGCTTTTAACTTTACTTCTACAGCTTTGTCTAGACCTAACAGTTCCTTTTTTAAGAGGAAGAAGTTTCATACAGTTTATACACAGGAACAGAGTTTAACTTTATCCAGATTTAACAGTTCTAAATTTAGCGTGATTGGCCATATCAAAGTCTGTTATTCATTTTATGTGTGTTGTGCTTTATTCACAACACATTAATCTAGTTTGATTCCAAACAATCATGTTTACAATAAGATTTTATTCCTTTTAGGCTGAACTCTTAAATAATACCTAATTTTTTAAAAGATTTAGTTTTTTTGCAAAGTCGGATATATAGAGAGAAGAACCAAGAGGGAGATCTGTCCGCGGAGTCACTCCCCAAGCAGTGCAATGGCCAGAGCTGAGCCTATCTGAAGCCAGGAGTTTCCTGCGGGTCCCTTACTTGGGTGCAGGGTCCCACGGCCTTGAGCTATCTACTGTTTTTCCAAGCCACAGGCAGGGAGCTGGAAAAGAAGTGGAGCAGGCAGGACACGAACCAGAGCTCATAAGGGATCCCGGCGCATGCAAAGCAAGGGTATATAGCCACTAAGCTATCATATTCGACTCAAGACTAATTTTTATTTCCCTGGGAAATAGTTACTTGGGTTTTCTTTCTGAGCTACAAGAAAAGCCTTGTGTTTGATTTTTTAAAAAAAAAATTTTTTAAGATGCATTTGCAAGCCAGAGTGGCAGATACAGATTTGTCACCCACTGATTTACCCATCAGTTTGCCACTACAGCCAGGACTGTGCAGATTGAAGAAAGAAGTAAGGAATTCCTTTCAGGTTTCCTGTGTTTGGCAGGGACTAGAATACTTGAGCTACAGGATGAGAGAGCTGTACCTGAAGTGGAGTAGCCAGGACTCAGACTGGCACACTAATATGGGGTGTAAGCATCCAGGCAGTGGCTTTACTAAACCAGCTGGCACACTGCCAGCTCCTTTTTTAGACCTCGGGTCCTTGCTTATTAAGTTGTGTAGGCTTTGTGCTTTTGCTTGCTATCATACAGGACACAGATGTGTCAGCTTCAAGTTCCTTTTGATTTTTAATAAAAATATACTCTTATAATAGACCTAGATTATGTGGGCCCAGCACCGTGGCCTAGCGGCTAAAGTCCTCACCTTGAACGCACCAGGATCCCATATGGGCGCCGGTTCTAATTCCCAGCAGCTCCACTTCCCATCTAGCTCCCTGCCTGTGGCCTGGGAAAGCAGTCAAGGATGGCCCAAAGCTTTGGGACCCTGCACCTGCATTGGAGACCTGGAAGAGGTTGCTGGTTCCCGGCTTCGGATCAGCACAGCACCGGCCATTGTGGCCACTTGGGGAGTGAATCAATGGATGGAAGATCTTCCTCTCTGTCTCTCCTCCTCTCTGTATATCTGACTTTGTAATGAAAAATTTAAAAAAGAAGTAAGGAAAACCAGAGGAGACATGAATGAGAGTAAATCATTCAGAGAACCAAACAAAAATTATGGAACTGAAAACTTCAATTAATAAAACAAATATATATAATTGACCTAGATTCTATATGTTGAGATGTATAGGCTCTACTTTTACCTTTATTTTCAAAACACATTAGGGAGCCAGCGTTGTGGCATATCAAGCTAATCTTTCGCTTGCAGTGCCCAGCCTCTCCAATTCCAAACCAGCTGCTCCATAAGCTGTCTACTTATGGCCTAGGAAAACAGCATAGAGTGACTCAGGTTCTAGGACCTTGCACCCGTGTGGGAGACCAGAAAGAAGCTACAGGCTCCTGG